AGTTTGGGGGCTGCCTTTTGGTTTTGTCAACTCTGTCCTTTGCCTTACAGAAGAATATAAGTTTGAGGAGGTCCTACTGATTACTGTCATCACAGTGTCTGTGCTACTGAAGTTATGTTCAGGAAGCAGTCTCCTGTAGCAATTTCTTCAAGGGTACCTCCCACTTTCTCTTCTAAGAGGTTCAGTGTGACTGGATTGATGTTGAGGTCTTTTATCCATTTGGACTTGAGTTTTCTTCATGGCAACAGACATGGGTCTATCTGCAGAATTCTACATACCATTATCCAGTTGTGCCAGCATCATTTGTTGAAGATGCTTTCCTCCTCCTATTGTATACGTTTAGCTGTTTTGTCAAAAATCATGTTTTCATAGAGGTGTGGGATAATGACAGGATTTTTGATTCAATTCCATTGGTTTACCTATTTTTGTGCCAATATCAGGCTGTTTTCAGTACTATAACTCTGTAGTAGAGCTTAAAGTCAGAGAATGTGATGCCTCCTGAAGTTCCTTTATTGTACAGGCTTTTTTGGCTATCCTGGGTCTTTTGTTTTTCCATATAAAGTTGATTATTATCCCTTCAAGGTCAGTGAAGGATTGTGCTGGGATTTTAATGGGAATTGCATTGAATCGGTAGATTGCCTTTGGCAAGATTGACATTTTTACTATGTTTATCCTACCTATCAAAGAGCATGGGAGTTTTCCTTTTTCTGGTAGACACAAAGTTCTTGCTATATAGGTCTTTCTCTTGTTTGGTAAGCATTACCCTAAGATACTCTATGTTGTTTGTGGCTAAAAGGGTGAAGTTTCTCTGATCTCTTCCTCAGCCACTTTGTCATCTATATATATAGTAGGGCAACTGATTTCTTTGAGTTTATCTTGTATCATGCTAGTTAGCTGAAGGTGTTTATCAGTTGTAGGAGTTCCCTTTTAGAATTTTTTTTTTGTCATTTATGTAAACTATCATATGGTCTGTGAATAGAGACAGTTTGACTTCTTCCTTTCCAATTTGGATCCCCTTGATCTCCTTTTGTTGTCTTATAGCATTAGCTAGAACTTCTAGTACAATATTGAAGAGATATGGAGAGAGAGGGCAGCCATGTCATATACCTGATTTTAGAGGAATTGCCTTAATCTTCTCTGCATTCAGTTTGACGTTGGTTCTTGGTTTAATGTATATTGGTTTTATTATGTTTAGGTATGTTTCTGTTATCCCTGACCTCTCCAAGACCTTTATCAAGAAAGGGTGTTGAATCTTGTCAAAGGCTTTTTCATTATCTAGTGAGATGATTATGTGGTTTTTCTTTTCCAGTTTTTTTTTTTTAATATGGTAGATCACTTTGATAGACTTTCCTATGTTAAACCATCCCTGCAACACAGAGATAAAGCCTGCTTGACCATGTTGTATGATTTCTCTGATGTGTTCTTGATATCTGTTTGCCATTATTTTGTTGAGTATTTTTGCATCAATGTTCATGAGGGATATTGGTCTGTAGTTTTCTTTCTTAATTGTGTCTTTGTGTGACTTGAGTAACAAGGTTCTTGTGGCCTCATAAAAAGAGTTTTGGAGAAACTTTCTGCTTCCATTGTGAAGAACAATCTGAGGACTATTGTTATTAGCTCTTCCTTGAATTTCTGGTTGAATTCTGCAACGAATCCATCTGTTCCTAGGCTGTTTTTCATTGGAAGAATTTTGATGTCTGCTTTTATTTCATTAGGGATTATAGTTCTATTTAAGTTGTTTATATATTCTTGATTTAATTTTGTAAGTGATAATTATCCAGAAATTTGTCCGTTTCCTTTGAATTTTTAAATTTTGTGGAGCACCCGTTTTCAAAGTATGACCTGAAAATTGTCTGGATTTCTTCAGTGTCCATTGTTATGTCTTCAATTTTGTTTCTGGTTATGTTAGTTTGTATGTTCTCTCTCTGATTTCTCTTTAGTTTGGATAAAGGTATTTCTCAATAAATCAACTCTGTGTTGCATTGGGTTTTTTTTTTTTTTTTTTGTATTATTTTCCTGATTTCTACCTAATTGATTTCAACCCTCAAATTGATTATTTCCTGGTGTCTACTCCTCCAAGGTGAGATTGCTTCTTTTTTGTGGTAAGGCTTTCAGTTGTGCTGTTAATTCTCTAATGTGACTATCCTCTGTTTCCTTCATATGGTCACTTAGTGCAATTATATTTCCTCGTAGCACTGCTTTCAAAGTGTCCCATAAGTTCAGGTATGTTGAGTCCTCATTCTCATTGAATTTTATGAAGTCCTTAATTCCTTTCTTTATTTCTTCTTTGACCCATGTATGGTCCAATTGTTCTTTGTTCATTTTCCATGAGTTTGCATGGTTTCTACGGTTTGTGTTGTTGAATTCCAAATTTAAAGCATGGCGGCATGATACGATATAGGGGATTATTCCAAAATTTTTGTATCTGGTGAGGTTTGTTATGTAACGTAGTATGTGGTCGATTTTATAGAAGGTTTCATGTGGAGCAGAGAAGAAGGTATATTCTTTTGTATTTGGATGTAGTGTTCTAAAGATGTCTGTTAAAAACACTTGAGACATAAATTCTGTTAGTTCTTTTGTTTCTTTGTTAAGGTTCTGACTGGTGGTCCTATCTAGTGGTGAGAGTGGAGTGTTAAAGTCTCCCATGATGAGTGTGTGAAGTTTTATTTGAGCTTTGAGTTTTAGTAGCTTTTCTTTTATGAATGTGCGTACCTTGTATATGGGTCATAGATGTTCAGAATTGAATCTTTGTGCTGATGTATTTCTCCTGAGATGAATAGGAAATGACTGCCTTCATCTCTTTTAATTGATTTTGCTTTGAAGCTTAACTTGTTAGATTTTGGGATAGCTTCTTGGGTCCCTTTGATTGCAAGATCTTTCCCCAACCATTTACCCTGTGTTTCCTGTATGCAGCAAAAGAAAGGATTCTGTCTTTGTATCCATTCTGTTATCCTATGTCTTTTTATAGGCGAAGTAAGACCATTAATGTTGAGGGAAAGTAAGGACCATTGATTGTTAATGCTTCCTTGTTTTAGATTTGTTGGTGGTGGTATTGTAAATATATTTGTGTGTAGAATATTGTGGAGTTCTGGGCTTTGCCTTAATATTAGCTTTTGCAAAATCACTCTAGCCCTACTTTAATAATATGCACTGTGTTCCTAAAGTTTACTGTGCTACTGAAATTCCAGTAAAAAGTACGGCCAAACCTTCTACCAGCATTTACCTGTCTTCAAACTAAATTCACAGTGCGTTGCTTACATTTGTTTTTCCTTTTTTTTTTTTTCAATTGTTATGCCATTTAAGGATCTTCTAGATGATATGAATGAAATTTTTGATCATGGTTTCTCTTTTCCTATATTAAATACAACACAAACCCATCTTTCTGTTGGTCTAGGTTTCCTATATTGCAAGAGATATCCTGGATTAGTGTCAACTTTACCCAGAGGAGACAAGACACTTCTTCCAAAAAGTCTCCTTATCTAAGAAGTTTGAGTCATTGGCCATTGAAAGCCCCAAAGTTTGAGTATTTTCATTTACAGCCTTCCCACATACTCCTCACCTTTGGACAAGGAAAAGGAACAATACACCAGTGTCTAAAGTGTTACTGCCTATGAATCAAGTCTTCTTTAAATTGAAAGAATTTTCTCATGTAAAAATGAAAAGAATTATAAAACTGAACTGTCTCATGGTTTTTAAATAAATTGTAGTTTTATTTAAACTAAATGTATTTTCATTATTTATTAAAGTTAAACTTACTATATCAATCTTGAACTATGCAATTCCATGTCCATTTCATAGAGTAGTATTATTAGTTTCAACTATGCAAATAGTATTTGTAAATATGCTTTTTGAAATATATTTGACTGTAAGAACCTCATTGTACTATCGTTTAATACTCAACAAATGTAAGTTTAAAATGTCAGTATCAACTTCATAACTTAAACACAATAATTTATTATCAGAATACCCAGATTTTTTAAAGAAATGACAGGATGAAATATTTAATTTAAAATCTGATGCATACTTTATAAATTATAATTTATTTAATATCAGTGGAAGTAAGATGAAAAAGATTAATATTGTCTTTCATTGTATGTGATGATGCAAAATTATGAAAATATCTAAATACTGAAATTGATGAACCTCACAGCCATAGTTCTTAATAAACACTAGAATAAATTTATGTTTAAGGCAGCTGTCTAACATCTTACCTTATGCACTCTTCCATGTCGCTGACCAAATTAATGCCTATGTATCACTTGCTGACAAAAATAAATACAGATGTTGAGAGCAACTTTCTAAAGTCTATCTTACCAATTAATTGATGCAACACTTGTAAATGATGATTGGAAAAAATGATGTTTGTTTTCTGTCAGTTGGGAACAGTTGGAGTCAGTGACTCAATACCTTGTAAAACTGTAAAGATTGCTGTAAAATATCCCCTTCCTTCTATGTGTGATGCTTTCTTTGCTCTTCAATATAGTCATAGTGAGGTCCTCTATGAAGGATAGACACATAGTCACAAACCGACACATACAAGGTCTGACAATATCAGAGGGACAGACAGATTCACAAGACAATTATGAACGGCTGGCAGAGACTAATGAAACAGAATGAGGATGAAAGACAACAGAGCATGGTGCAGAGAATTCAGATCTAGGATGGCTCAGTTAAATCACTCTAATTATTTATTTTCTTATTGCAACATCAATTCATTTTTGGCAACTCAGAGTTAATCATTAAACCATATAATATGCACAGGTATTCCAGGTGTTATAGGAATATTTTCAAGTCTTTAGATTTCTTTTATTTATTAGTAGTGGAATAATTAAATTATATCATAAAGCCCCTCAATGTAAAGTAATAGCAAAATAACAACCCAACTTCTCTAAGAAATTCTGGTACTTTCTTACTTTAGTGCTCCGAATTCTGCAGTCTGTACACCATCCTATCACTATTATAAATATGGATGTACAATTCCAATACTGATACATCCGTACCTATGAGCAGGTATCTTTCGATTTCCAACAATCAGGATGACATCACAGAGCTGCTGTTGCTTTAAGTAATTCTCCATCTTTCTAAATGATTGCTCAGCATGATGAACAGCTTGATAGAATTCTTCAGAACTATTGGAGTCCAAATCACTTTGGGGTGTCAGTGAATGACTGGTCGCTGTCAACCTAAAACGACACACATAGACAGAAAGTTGATGCTTATATAAAGTACCAATAAAGGAACAGAGAGTTATGTTCAGTTTTACAATTTAGGAAGTTTATTTACAGACAACTTTATGAAAATCAATGAACAAAATCTTTTTATCCTCCCCACACTGCAATATTAAAAATATTCATTTTAGTAATGCTATTTGTTTAATAAAGCAGTAAATGAATTGAAAAACAATGTCTTTTCCTGTCCTCAAAAGTGACTTAAGATACATTTTCAATATCAGATTATTATGTAAGTAAATCTGAAAAGAGTCACAGAAATAGTATATAAATTATATATTTATACTAAAATTTATTGATGTTGAATATTAAAATATACTTACAATTTGTTGTCATATATCAACTAGAACACTAAGACTTTGCAATAAGGGAAAAGTCCAAGCTCAAAAGTCTACATGTATGAAGACTCTAATAAAGAAATCTTCATGCAATGCGAAATAAAAGGATAATGATTAGAGGCCAAAGATATGAAGGGATAAAAGTAGTGGTAAAAATTTGCCAGTAAATACAAAATTTCCAAAAGATAGAACACTGAAGTTACACTATTCTGTCACACATGCCAAGGCTATAGTCAAAATACCAAATATTGGGAGAAAATTTTGAATATTCTGTCTCAAAAAATGACAAATGGTTGATGTAATGAAAATGCTTACTACTTTGTTTGTATCAATACATAAGGTATGTATATTAAAACTTCATATGTCTTATAAACTTGAATGAATGGCTTCAATTAAGTCATCTTAATATTATTATTGTACTTTAAATTATGTAATCAATATAAAAAACTATATTAAAATCTGTTTCATAATATATCCAGTGCAAAACTGTCAGTAATTAAATTTTAGATGTTGATAAAATTAAAGAAAAAAACAGGAAAATAAAAGGATGATGCCAACTTGGTTTGAGGTCCCCAACATTTGACAAAGTAAAGCTATTGGTGCTAGATTAAGTAAATAATTGCTGTCGACTAGAAAGGATGTTTCAGTATGCCTAGACACCTCAAAAGAATCTGCAGAACGTCTAACATATATGAAGTCAATTAAATTATGGGTTATCTGTTAATCATCATCATATTTCCTTTTTTGTCTTTGTTATTTATTTATTTTACACATTGATCCCAGTTCAGTTTCCCTCCTTCTCTTCTCCCATCCCACTCTCTCTCCGTCCCATGCCCCCCCAATTACTCCCCAATCCCATCCCCCACTACACAGGGAGGGTGATGCCTCCCAGGTCATTTGGAGTAGGGACTAGGCCCTCCCTCCTGTTTAGGCTAAGGAAATATCCCTCCATTGGGAATGTGCTCCTAAAGTCCTTTGGTGCACCAGAGATACATCCTGGTTCCACTGTCAGAGGTCCCTTAGACTGCCCAGGCCTTCTAACTGCGACTCATGTTCAGGGGGCTTGAGTCAGTCCAATGCTGGTTTCCCAGCTATCAGTCTGAGGGCTTATTGGCTTCTCTTTATTCAAGTCAGGATGTGTCTGTGGGTTTCTACATCATATGCTCTTAATAATGCTATGATCATTATCCATCTATTCAATATGATTATTTTCATAGAATTTTCAAGTCTCCCTTTAAAAGTATGAATTCAGTACAAACTCTGCTATGCCATATGTTTTTCTTTCAAATATAATTAAAGAGTAAGTGCCAGGGCAGCATCATGTTACAGGACATGTTTTAGAAATGTGGAATATGCATGCAGCATAACAGCATGTTTCCATATATAAACACATTGTGTGTATGTTCACAAAATTCTCAGCAAGTAGCATTTGTAAATCCAGCAGTATCATAATGTAAGATCATAGGTAACCAGGAAAACTGAAACAGGAATTCAAATTGCTAAATGAATGACACATTTCTCCAAATTAATATGGATATTTCCAGAATTGTGGCTAGAATTCCTCAATCTTCTCAAAAAATGAAAATAGTAAAATTAATCCTGCAGAATGGCTCCAGCTTTGTTTGAAACTTATTTGGTAAAATGATTCCATCCAGATCCTTTTATCATAACTGACTTATAAATTTAAAAACTGCTGTAGTATGAAAGTTTTATGCTTACTGAAGATTTCATAATATTAATGAACAATGTATTAGGCTTCATCAAGTGACCCAAGTTGAAGTGTACTATTAAATAAATTGGGTAATACAAGTTTAACTTTTAGAGAGATTCTAGACTTATTTTAAAAAAAAAGGCTGAAATAGGGATTCAGGGTTGCATATTTTAAAGCCCCCTTTACAAAATCAACCTGGCTAAATTATTGGCACAGATAGCTAGGTGATATTTAAATCCCACTCCATAATGGTAAGTTATTTACAGTTGATAATTGGTGGTGGACATGGACAGTGTTTGATGCTGCAGTAATTGGCTGCACACCAAGACACAGAAGGATAGTAAATGATGGACTTAATATATTAATTAAATAAAATATAGGATAGTATAGATAGTATAGTATAGATAGTATAGATAGATAGTAATGGTTCTGTTGGGTGGTATGGGAGAAGTTGGAAGGAAAATATGGAGTGTATATGTTCATATTTAATTACATATATGTATGGAAATCTCAAAATTAAAACAATGAAAAATAAGAATAGATAAGCAGACAGTGAGTGTCACGAAAATTTTCCCCTGAATTCACTTTCTCCTACACTTTTATTTTTGTAAGAATTTTCATGTTATGATTTCCTCTATACTATGAATGGAAATAATTCAGTTTCTTTAAGGCCTTTTGATCTGTCAGATAAATGATTATGTAGGTTCAACATGATTTTCTCTTCCTCATTTCTCATAAATCATTTCTTAATCACAAACGTGTAGGATGAATGCACCTCAACATTCAATCCAGATCTAGATTTATAAATAAATGTTCCATATCAGATCACCTGTTATTTACAAGTTTTCCAATTTGATAAAATAAGACAATTTAGAAAACACAAATTAGTAGTTTCTTCTGAATATTATATAAAATTGCTTTGGCTGATTTTTCAATTTATACTTCAGTATTTAAGGTTTAGATATTCAAAAACCTTTATATTTAAATAACAAATTATTGACTAACAATGATTATATACTATAATTTGAATCTTTATCTAGCTGAGCAACAAATTTGAAAATATAATAAATAAAATTTTTAAGGTTAGTTTATAAACTCACATCAAAAGTAGCACATAATGAAATTATCACCAGTTTAACACATTTAAAACTGAAATAATTCTCAACCCCATGTACTATTCAAGCTATAAATGTAACCTTCTGCTTAATTCAGAATGACATGTCCTGAAAGAGCTGTTTTATTCACTAATATCCACTAAAGGCTATTTTTAACCCACCAAGCAAACATAAACCATGGAAAACTATGTTCTCTAAACACCTATATTTTGTTAATTAACTTTTTGTTTAGAATTTCATATATGACTACTGTGTGCAAATTATTTACATTATTTCTACATCTAGTTTTCCCCATTCCAAGTCCTCCTGTTGTCACACTATCAAATCTCTGCTTTCTTCTTCTGTATTACTGTTACAACATATATGTATATATGTGTGTGTTTCACATATGTTTGGTTCACAAATACATATATAAATAAGTATGTATTGCACTGGTCACATGTAAATGTGTTTGGAACTTACCACTTGGGTTAAAATATCCTATCAGAGGTCTTATCGAAAAAAAGTGATTGTCAGTGATCAGCATCTATTTCTAACCTGAAGCTCTTATGCTAGGTGTGGAGCCAGTGAAATTTTGATTGCCAACTTTGACATGTAAACTGGAATCATCGTTATATGGATCTTATTTAGTTGACCTTAGTGCAAAGATCCATGTGTGCAACATCTCAATTTACATATTAATACTTTCAAAATCTTCCTTTCAGAAAGCTTCCTTTTACGAGTCAGACTAATAAAGTTGGAATTTTCCTGTCATTTTGCAAGTACAACTCTGTTAAGGAGAGCAAATGAGGTGCTCAGCAACTTTATAGTGGATGATGAATAAATGAAAATTATTATATCAGAGGTTAAAATTTTTCTCATCCTACCCTCACCTTACACAAAGATTGATTGAATGAATGAATAAAGATAGATATATAGATAGATAATAAATAAGAAAAGTGAAAGGTGAAATTAGCCAAGCTGTTGTGTTAGCACTCAGGAGGCAGAGGCTGTCTGATCTGAGTTGGAGGCCAGCCTGGTCTACAGAGCTAGCTCCAGGACAGCCATGATGATACAAATAGATCCTGTCTCAACAAAAACCAGAGGAAATATGAAGTCAGAGATCCTGCTGCCTCTGCATTCTTTTATTTCTTTAACCCCAGGAATGCTTAACATAAAAGCATTGTAGGTGCTGAGCTGTGCACACACACACACACACACACACACACACACACACATTCACACACATAAATGTGCATGCACACGCACGTACAAAAGAAAAGAGATTATGGATTTAAAGATCATTTTTCTGAATTCCAGGGTTATGCAAAGAGACCCTGTCTCAAGGATATGAGACAAGGTAGCTAGCTGCTGGTCTTGTATTCAGGCATCTGTACTGGCCTGTACTTGGCGTTCTGACAGGATAGGAGCTCAGCCTTAACCTATAAGAGCATCTGTGCATATTCACTATGTTCCCTTTTAAAAGGGTCCTGCCTATTTCAAATCCTTCTCTCTCTCCCCTCTTTACTTTCTCCTCTCTCCTGCTGCTCATGTCTGCAGAGGCTTGTCTGTCCCCCATTTCCATTCCCTTTCCCCTTTGGATGATAACTTTCCCTAATTTAAAAAATAAAAAAATAAAACAACTCTCTGCTTGAAAAAATGTTTAACTTCTTTCCTTTTTGAGATTATAATATAATAAAAAGCATTTCTTCCTTCCCTTCCTCCTTATTAGTCATATACTTCTTGCTCTCTTTCAAATTCATGGCTTTATTTTTATTAACTATAATTATATACATATATCATTATTTTAAT